CACTGCAGGGTAAACCTGTGTCAGTGTGTGTGACTAGCAGGCCAGATCTACTTGGGACTAGTGTCATACTTGACTCAGTCTGAAGCAATAGTCTTTGTCACGCGAGGTCGCATCAGACGCCGCGAGGTCATGGCATTTCTGCTTCAGCGGCCATCTGAAAGTGGAAGAGAGCGGTCACCTGCAAGACTAATGGCATATCTATGCGACAATGTTACGCTGTTATAGAATCGTCTGCTGGGGGTGCGATGGGTACATGGGAATGTCGAGTCAAGGCGTGAAGCTGTTTCAGGCTACGAGCCGAATCTCCAAGACAGGCATTTTCAATTTGCTAGACATATAGAAATATCTGTCACCTTCGAGCGAACCCGGCGAGAATCCGTCAGCTGGCAATTTTAGTAACGCTACAAATCTTAGCTCAAGTCCAGAGACGTAGCAAAGGTGACTTGAAGGCGGAGGAGTAAAGTGGGAAGAAGACGAAGAGACTTCATTTGAGTTCATGGCGGGCTCGAATACCGCTCGCAAACTGTCCTGCAATGGTGAGCAGAGGAAGAGTCCTCCAGCAGATCACAGTGTAGCTGGACGTAGCGTTCCTATAGTCATCGTGGAGGGAACAAGCAGGACGATTTCCGAAGGTAAGAGTGGCCACCGTATCGCCATGCATTTAGTAGCGCTTTCCTTCAGGTCGAACGAGAATTGCGGAATAAATAGATGCTACATTCTAATCACTACGAAGTGGTGAAGAGCAATTGTAATAGAAATAGTACGTTGAGCGCTATTCGCTGAACGCTCTACAAACATTGGAGCTCATGCGTCCTGCCCACAGACTTGACATCTGACCGACTGGTGAATTCCATATAGAGCCCAGGCGAAGCACGCTCAAGCTTCAACGTTAGCCCGCATTCTTAGCATATTACGGCCGAAGTCGCAACACCTTAGATCTACAGCCAATCTGCATATTTCACGAGAGACGCTTAGCTTGTCTATTAATTTTATTGCACGGTACTGATGTGTCGCTAACAATAGGCAAGCGAAGACATAGTTCGTTTTCCTGTTTTGGTAGTCGCCATGTGGCCATTGGGTTGAGAACACAAACCCTACTCCGCAGTACTGTAACTCGATTCGCCTCCCTTCTGTGCTGCATGCTAAATCGCTTACAATGTAGTGCAGATGACATGGAGTATTCCAAATTCCTTGTCAATGTCGGTCACACCCTAGTCCCTACCTCTAAAACACGCTCCTTCGGAACACGTCACGTGCATTTTACACTCTAGAGGTACTTCTGCTCCCTCTTCGCATTGCTCAAGCCACCCCAGAATAACTCAGTGAGCACAACAAGAACAATTGGAACACTACATCCACTCTGTGAAGATGCTGCACGTGGCATGTGGCTCTGCAGTTCAATAATAGGCTGGTCATGATCTTTATCAACCTAGCCTTTTCTCAGTACTCCCAGGATTTAGAGGTTACATAGCCATGAGAAGATATTGTTCGAAAGCAAACAATTCCATTCCAAGTACGTTTGCCGTGGATGCTGGCACTGAAAAAGGTGCACAACCCTGAAACAAAGGTGCTCATAGATCCATCAGATCAGGTCAGGCTTGCTGCCAATGGCATGGCCCGCTTTACTTCGAGTACTTTCGCATCGTCTTTGAAAAGCCTTTAGAAGTGCTTATGGCCTCGGAAAAGAAGGTGCCTTTCTTCGAGGCTGGTGCGGATGAAGACAGGGAACAGGTCCGTCTACCCAAACTGCTTCCGTTGGGTGTCTCGGGTCTCGGGTCTTGTTCATGTCTGTGTTTCATGTTGTAGCCGTGCAATCAACCTGTAGTTGTTTATCATGACGCAAGAGGGATATCGGGCAACTAACTGCATTCATTCCCTTTAGGATAGAGTGGGCCTGCAGAAGTGTCGTGACACAATACAATTTGAACCAGCAAACGTAATAAAGCCTTAGATGAGAATCGTGCGTATCTGTTGTCGTTATACTGTACTCCTCTAGTGAAATGGATGTCATGAGATATGAATCGTTGTTGTGGACGTGCCCGTGGTTCACACGCCACTCCACACGTGGCATTCTGTAGTTTTTTTGGCTGTGCATTGCACTACATGATTGTACTCATGGTGTTGTTGGACGTGATATCACAACTTGTTCCCTCACAATGCATCTTGAGAACACCTGCAGAGTGTAAGCCGTACCTGTGGAGCTGTGCTTGTGCGGGCTGCTTCTTCACGGTTAAACATTAGGCAGCTGTATATATTTGTTGTCGCGGCCTGGGCAAGGAGGTCACAGCTGTAATCCTCGGGCATAGTTGCAATTCGTATCGCTTTTTTCTGGTCGTGAAGTGTGCCATTTGGTCAGTGCTGTGCGTCCTCTCAGTGATTAGGTACCATAGACTTTGTTCACGTGTTCACGGCAGTGCCTTGACAGGGGAAATGCTCAGAGAACTCTGCTAATCTGGAGTATTGTTATCTTTAAAGGCATTGCCACATTGAAGTGTAGCAGCAGTATGCCGCGTCCACAACTTCGCTGATGCTGAATGGCTCGGGTGAAAGGAGAGCGGAGAGAAAGCAGCGAGGCAGTCAACATCTAAGATGTCACACTAACATGAATAATCAGGAGTTAGGGTATCTACCACTCAATAATATGATGGGTGTTCACTGAAAGACTCTGAGCGGAGATTGTAGATTGTTCTTTCCTGTGAGTTTCTTTTGGCAACAAGTCCTAAAGATAGCGTTCTGGAATTCGGATGTCGAGCACTTACAAGTTTGAAAAAAAGTAAAAGACGGCGGCTCAAGGCACCAGTTACTGCCTGCCGCAATTTAACCAGATATACATGTAGACTCATGGTGTGCAGTTATGATATGTGGTAAAGCTGAGTGCCAGGTCGGTGAATACCCATGCTGTCATTCAGTGTAGTGTCACGGCGTTGAGTCTTGATGCTGTTATGCAGTCTAGCATGTTCTCACCCAATCTGACTGTTTCCTGCATACATATATCCCGCGAACAAGGAAACTGTGACTTTCAGTGCTAGTGTCTCCTACACACTTTCAACAGCTCTCTTCCCGTATGATTACTGCCAATCCGCTTGAATCATACAGATACGAATGTCGTGTTTGAACTTCAAATTTTCTTCCACAATGGGGATATCTGGTCCTGTCCAGTAGGAGCGGCCAGTTTATTATAGCTCCGTTGGAGCTTGTCGGCATTGACTTGCCTAGTTTTAGCTTGACTGGGCAAGTTGGGGAGCAACCAGTGAGATGATGGCGGTACATCACCACAAATGTGCACCGCTAAAGGTCTTTTTTTGTGATTTTAGCACTCACGATAAGTACAAGTGACACCTCTCTATGAGAAGTTGAGAACATGAAAAGTAGCTGACACTGCGTGGGATGTAATGGGTCTGACGCAATTATCAGCGTTGGCAAGATGGCAATCTCAGTGCCATGGTATTATGATGTTCATGGTGGATGTGGTGGTGGTGGTAGTGCTGGTGCTGGTGGTTCTGATGGTGATGGTGCTGGTGCTAGTGCTGGTGGTGCTGTTGATGGTGATGGTCCTGCTGGTGGCAGTGATGGTCCCCGTGGCGGGGTGGTAATGGGGGGGGGGGGGGGGTTGCTGGGGCTTGGTGGTGGTAGTAGTGATGGTGGTCCTGGCAATAGTGGTGATGATGTTGCCCCTGCTGATGGTGGTTACAGCTGGTGGTGCTGGTTGTGGTTATGGTGCTACTGGTGTTACTGTTGCTACTATTGCTGCAGCTGCTGGTGGTGATAATGGTGGGTTGAGGGTAGTGTGTGTATGTATGTATATTATATATATAATAATATGTGTGTGTGTGTTTGTGTGTGTTTGTGTGTGTATATGTCTGTGTCTGTGTCTGTGTCTGTCTGTCTGTGTCTGTGTAAGTGCATGCGGGTGAGGGAGTGAGTAAGTGCCCATGTATGTGTGTTTGTGAACCCGTTTTGGTGTGGGAATGTGGGAATCTGTGCGTATGTATGTTGGGCAGAGATAGAGAAAGAGAGGGGCTCCGCAAGGGGAAGGAGAGAAAAAGAAATAGGGAGCTATGATAAAAGGGGTGATGGGCAGACAAAGGACTCATTAAAAATCCAGTTTGGCACTTCAGAATACACTTCAGAATACATTTTACCGGATTTTAATTCATTGGTAGAAACTAGAAAGTCTGTAGATAATGTCCCTGCACGAACAACAGGCCCTGCACGAACAACAGGCCCTGCACGAACAACAGGCCCTGCACGAACAACAGGCCCTGCATGGAAAAACAATGAGTTCCAGTCTCAAGAAATTGAATTAAGAAGATGATTTGTGCAGTATCCTTGACATGAAGTATCACATTTTGCCTGGTTTGTAACTTGTCTTTCCATATAAGGTATAGTTGGGAATGAAGTCACTGGGACAGTGTTGAGCATAACTGTCGTCAGAAAACATCGCATACCTGTTACTGGCATTCTAGATGAATGGCTGGCTCAGTGTGTTGTGGGTGACTTGCTGGCTCAGTATGCGTTGGAAGAATGCCACAGGCGCACTGTGAAATCGAACATGATTGGACATGACTGACAGCAAAGTATGCCGGTGGAAACAAAGATGACCTTTGCTCCAATAGACAGATATGTGTGGGTAGGTTGAACCCGGCCTGAGATTCACTACACGTAGAAGAAGTTTTCAAGCGCATTCTTGGCTATCACATGACAGTTGAATGGGCGCCAAAGTGATTGAAACCGTTCAGAAGGATTCTATTACAGCCTTTCTGTCTTGCAAGTAATTACCAAGGGATAAATGGCTGGTTCGAGGAGCACAAAACCAGATGAACGGAAAGTCGCAGGACCATCCTCTTGAGATCTTTTGTTTCGAGCTTGGCAAGCCATTGTCTCCATGATAGATACAGTGCACATTGAGCATCCCGGGAGCGGATTGCTACAGTGCATGCATCAATCATCGTTATCTTGAATGTACAGTGGAATTCCACACTCAAAACCTGAGTATATGTGGAGGTTGCATTAGATTGTATTATGTCTTGGTGCTCTATGCTTTGCATACCACATTGTTGTACTGGTTGCATGTCATGATTCCCACTACAGCACGTTGGCCACCATTTCTTGGCCACGGAATTCAGAAATATAAAAAAGAACATCATAGTTTGAGAATATGAACAGCTCTATGTTCGTTGGAATAACCAACATCATGTCTATGAACAGAGACAGCTGAATCGACACATCAGGAAAGCTTTCTTGAAATTGTCACAAGCAAAAATGGCAGAAAATGGTGATCAACACAGAAAGAAGTGGGGCGGAATTGAACGTGAAGAATGTTGATAGAAACGGCAATGAGAATATCTTAGGAACTAACTCAGGTACCGAACCAGTACTAAGGGTGGAGAAGAGAGTGGGTATATGGATGGGGGTTATGGGAAACCATTCACAACTGTAACCAGATAGCATACGGTCATCGTAGCTAAAGGGTTTGGGCGTGTAGTGTGGGGTTAACCTGCCTAGAGCATGTTCACCCACGGTCTGTAGCCTTGGTTTACACTGCCTGCTGTACTGTCAGTAAAATCTACAAGTGCTGAAAACCATAAATTCTGCCACATTGTCACAAATGTCCAGTCTGTTCCAGTTCAGGTCATGTTTTCCGGCTTTGTGTTTCTTGGGTTAGGCATGCTGAATCTAAATCTGTATCCCAATCAGGGCACTTGACACTTTCATGCAGACATGTGCTGGACCCCAAGACCCTAAACCTGTGGTCTGCGACAAGTTAGGCACCACATACCACCTGCACGGATCTCACTTTCGCCTGTCACCGCCCAGTCCCAGCTACAGGTGATGTGGACTTTGGCAAGCTGCTGGAGACAATGCCTCAGCTGCCCAGCGTGTCATGACAGACTGCCTAGGGTGGTTCACACTCATGCCCTGACATCTCCTATTTTTTCTCAGTTTCACATGACCCCGACTGATTTCTACAGGTTGATTTGAAGCATGACTGAATTCAGTGACGTTTGGGGGCAGATTTTTCTGGCAGGTTGCTATGCTACATGAAGCAGCTCAAGTAGCCGCACAGTGCCAGCTCCAGAACCATGAGCACGTGCTCAGCTTGCAGCACTAGCATGCAGAGTAGGACAGGAACTGTAAAGGCTAAGACTGAGACCCCCCATGCATGCAATCTCCGTGCTGGAGATGGGCACTCTTGGTCCTGTCCGCCCACGAGATGATTCATGTTATGACCCAATACAGTCTCTCACAGACAAGATGACCCTGCCCTTGAACCTGCCCTGGCTGCTGGCACACCATCATCAGGAAACTACTTACCATATCCAATAATCCAGGCACATGCATATGTTGAGCTGGGCTCATGTTGCTTGCCTCAAATTTAGCCATAAGGCCTCTGTCCACATGGGCAATGCGTGTACCTCACGCCAGTAGCAAATGAAACCAGCCATTTGGGCATAGTATCCTGAAGGTCGGCTATCGTGATATTTTTGCCTTGTAGTCACGTACTTAGGTCGTGTGGAGATACGTCACCAAAATTATGTAGTCTCTGCACACTCGCCTGGCATTTCCATTGTGTCTGCTGGACATTGTCAAGGTCACTGTACCTGCATGATCTCAGCCGAATTTAGCACCGTAGGCAAAGGATGATCAGATTTGGTTCAACTGGTAGTTTTCTGGCTTTAGAGAGCTAGTTTAGTGAATGGTTTGCTCATTGGCACGCCTAGCTGGATAGATGCTGTGATTCTTATACTGAGGAAGCAGCGTGGCATGAACGCAGAGATCATGAGATTATGGCCGTGTATAGAGGAAATGACTTTTGGAACTCCAGTAAGCACTCAGTGTCGTCTCATTGTTTAGCTAGAGACTGTGCCAATTAGCATTGCGATACCTATCCCCTGTGTGTTCTATTCAGCCTCCTATGTGTTCACCTGGTCCAAGTCTATGCTATTATCTCCGAATGTAACCCGGCTAGGGTATATTCGTATTGCCAGATACACTCCCACCGCTTATATCCTTGCAAAACAATGTGCAGATTGGACAAAGCTGGGTGCAGGATGAAGAATGTGGGAACCTGTGTGTCACCTAGCAATGGCTGAAAGGTCAAATTCGTATGCACCCCAATCAGGGGACTAGTTCGTTTATCACCGAAAGAAAACAGACCTCTAGCCGTGGCCAATTCTTCCAGCTGTGTAGGTGTCATGGTGGAACATTCATGAATGGAGTTTCGACACATGGATTCGAGTGCCAGGTCGTAGCCATTATCAGCCTTGTTCTTATTCTCCATGTCCCTTCTCGTGTTTATCATTCTTGCTTCTGTTCAGCCCAAGTTGCCACCAACACAGACACGGCTATGCAGCAGCAAACCCCACCAGCAGCACCAGCAGGCACCCCACGCTCAGTGGGTTCCTCCCAGGAGAGGGCAGCAAGCTACGAGAAGATTCGGCAATGGTGAGTGAAACTATCCTTTAGGCATACACTGTGTTTGACCTGGCATCATCCACCCATTGAGCAAGTTGTTTGTGTATCCCACCAACATAATAATACATCACAGGCATCAGATAGTTCATGCGAGCAGGGTAAGGTCCCTTTCCAGTGGTCTGGAGGCTGTTTAAGCCTTTCATTTCAAATCGAGCGACATGATGTGATGAATGCACATCCACATATGTTTTGGCCTGTTCTTGACAAGCCTGCTAAAACAGATACATACCTGACCTTTCCGCCTTAGGTATACTATGCATATGAAGCCATTATGGGAGTGCCTCCATAACAGTACTATCCTGAGAAATCATCTATTGTGTTTGTTGTTGTCCGAAAAGGATCCGTGATAATTTCGAGAAAGAGGAAGGATCTGGACTTCCACGTGAGCAAGTATATAACTTCTACAAGGATTTTGGACCATCGGATGATTTCACTGTGATCAACCCAGCCAGTTTTGGAAAGGTAAGATTCTCATGACCAAAATGTTTCCCCTATGTATAGCTATCTTTTAACGCGTACACTCTAAAAGAGTCTTATTATTTTGGCTCGTATACACTTGTATACGCAGCAGTGAGACCGAGACCCCATGTTCTATGGAGAATCACATGTCCGCCCCGTCCCGATTATCACCTTATCCCATTTGCTGACATTTTGCATTCGATAATCAGTGGATTTGTGTGGAAAAAAGGAAGAAAGAAGACGTGATCCAGGCTGCACCCGTAGTCAAAATCATTGCTGATGCCAGTGGCCTCGGTCAGGTTTAGTAAGTGACGCTTAGATGGAAACAAGGAAAACGGTGGGGAACAAGTTATGCGTTAGACTTAGAGTCCACCAACTAAACCAGGTTTTGAACAGTCAGACGTGCACAAGGTAGCACCAGACTGCCAAGGAGTACTGAGACATTCCACGGCATTTTCAGTCTGGTGCTACCTTGTGCACGTCTGACTGTTCAAAACCTGGTTTAGTTGGTGGAGTCTAAAGCATAACTTGTGTCCCACCGTTTTTGCATGTTTCCATTTAATATTTTCCTTGGCTCAACATCTGAGTTTAGAGTCTATAGCACAACATTTCAAGAGAACATGGCTGCTAAAGGTTACCCCATAACCCGTCTGTTAAGAAAATTACCTGTTTGTTAGTTAAGGGTACACCCGCTTGACCCCTACTACAGACATACTCATAGTTCTTGATCAGTTCTTTCGCGTGGTTCCAAACTTCGCCATACCCTACCACCTAACACCGGAAGCAAATGCAACATAACCTTCGAGTCCAACCACTTTCACAAAATACTTCATAAGCATTGAAAGGAATAAACTGCAAAAAGAGCCAAAAAGTGATCCAGGCAAACCAAGCACTGCTTGTTGCCAAAAATTGGCATTGTTACAATTCTAGCTGTCAATGTGTTTGTGGGTCTGGGTGAACATGTGATTTCATTCCTATTCTGGTGAACGTTTGGTTGTGGCTGCAGTGTGTTAGGCATGTATTCCCGTCAGCTGAAGTCAAGATCCGTCGCCTTGGAACTCGTGGACGATCAAAGTAAGCAGGGATAGGCATGATGTGTGTGTGTGTGTGTCCCATATGGTGCAGTGGTATGTGCAGTCGATTTCCAATCGGGAGATTGCGGGTTCAATTCCTGATGATTTTGGTCGAACACGTCTTTCTTCTCTTTCTCGGACTCTTCCTGACTTTTCTTTCATTCTTCTGGATGGTTACCAACACCCAGCATATGAGTCAGTGAAAACTTGTGATCTTTCACTAGTTTTAGACATGTCATATTTCTAGCACTGAGGTAACATATGTAGTCATAGAAATATTATCAACACCTAAGAACACCAAATTAGTGTATATAACTGCTCCTTGGCAGACTTCCACTTCATATTGTATCCTGATGATGGCAATTTGCCGAAACGTTGAAAATGATTATGTGAAATGAAATGAGTTGTGAATTTGCAGTGCCCAGGGAATGAGCATGTGTGCTCACCAATTCTCTTCGAGTTATGAAGCTGCAGGATGCCTCACCGCTACTTCGTTGGTTACCAACAGCCAGTGTATGCCGGAGTATGTGGTGTGTGTGTAGAAAAAAATGGAAAAATGAAAAATAGGGATTCACTGGCCAGAAAAAGTCACTTCAAACAGCTGTGTGGTAGATACGAGGCTAAAAATAGTGGCGATCAATTCATCAGCCTTGCAAGCTGTTGAATGGTGTAATCCCAGCACAAGTTGCTATGTCTAACATAGCTGTTCGCTATCATCGCTTCCGCGATGGGCATGTCTGAGGTCTGAGGTATGTGTGTGTGTGCGTGTATGTGTGTGTGTGTATGTGTGTGTGTGTGTGTGTGTGTGTGTGTGTGTGTGTGTGTGTGTGTGTGTGCATGTATGTGTGTGTGTGTGTGTGTGTGCCAGCTAGTTCGGTTGGTGGGTACACTTATGCCGGATAGTGTTGGGTCTGTTGCCAACGGGCTCGGCTGCTTGAAGGTGTAATGTTGTACCTACCACCTTTGTTGGTTTCAGGGTTCATATACTTTCTATTTGAAGTATACATACCTGTTAATCATGGACTACTTCTGGCTAGATTAACTCTTGTGTAATCATGGTGCTAGTGAAGCTTGTATCAGATCCACTCTGATTTAGCCACCCACACTAGTAGCAAGTATTACCTTCACTGGGGGCAGGGGTACCTGCAGTTGGATCCCAGGACGGATACCCTGATGCCGCCAATCCTTTTTCTGCACCTTGTCCTCACCCACTTACTGAGGTGTGGTGAGCCCATAAGTGGGATCATTTTCAAGTCCACCCAGAGTTTTGGGGATTTCAGGGGGTGTCGGCCGTTGGGCGGTTCAATAGCCAATTGAGTCATCTTTCCAAGATTCCTTTTGAGTCTCTCTCCCCTCTCCCGGGGAGACCCACGTGACCAGTTTTGGCAGTGAGCAACAAGTACAAGTACAAGTGTGTGTGTCTGTGTGTGTGTGTGTGTGTGTGTGTGAGCTGGGGGCCGGGGGTGGGGGTGGGAGGAGGGCATTGGACCAAGCCACATAATGGTGCTCCATAATTTGATCATGTACAGAACTAGGGTCGAATGCCGTACAGCGCTCCCAGAAATTAATTATGGTACGCAAGCGAGTTCAGTTTCAGAATCAGTCCTTCTTTCTAAACATTAATCCCGTAAAAAATGCTTAGCCCCTTTCCAAACCAGGAAAATGGCTGACCATGTCAACTCTTTTGCTACATTATTATCTGAACTACCCACTAGATTGTTTTTCCTATGTGGTGTTCGTAATTTTTAATCGGGCTCATTGCATGAAAAGGTTAGCAATGTAGCATAGCTGGAAATCCATTTCCTTTGCTGCTGGACTGCTGTCCTTGGCTAAGTAGGCTTTCTATATTCTATCTTCTTTTGCATTGGCAAGGTATCATTATTATGGGCTGACAGTCAAGAAATCGTCGCCATTCTTCGAGGATATGGTACGCATGAAGGAACAAGAAATGTAAGTGGAAGCTACTTTGATTTCCTCGCTGTTATCGCTGTTGTGAATGACAGCTTAATATACAAGGAGAGAGAATGCCTAGATGAGGGTTGGACACTCTGCAAGGAGCTTGAATGGTGAATGGAGTTGGTCCAGTTTTGGCATGACACATCAAGAAATGAAAGATGCGTCCGAATTAGGGGTGAAAGTTGGCACTGAGATCCCGAGTTCGAGTACTCTGATTTTCTCCGATCGAATATTCGTGTATTCGAGTATTCTTCATCCCCTAAAAATTGCACACCAAGAGCCTTAAAATCATATGATACAACCCTGATTGAACCGAGTAGCAGTCATTTTTCTCGGGTATATCGGTTTGTGGGTCATTTGGGCTCTCTCTACTCGTGAACAAATGTTCACCACACAGTCTGCACCTCAATATCTGCCGACTGCTGCTCTGAAACTGCAGATTTCTGTGATAAATGCATGCACCATGTATGAACGAGTACTCTGATTTATTCCGAGTACGATTATTTTATTTTTGAAAAAACCGAGCGAGTACTCAAGTACTCGGTATAATTGTTTCACCCCTAGTCCGAATCTTTCCACTAATCTCAGAAATTAGCACAAAACAGGCTCTTTTAGAAGTGTTATACTGCCAATATCTTGTGTTTATTATTATTAGTATTATGCACTTACGCGTCAATGTCAGCGGTGGTAAACCGCCCACAAATTCGCACGTGCTAAATGGACTTGGGAAATGAGCACCGAGCATTCGGTGCGGCATGGAAATAAAAGAGCAACGACAACAGAAATAGAAATACAATAACAAGACGTACCCGCTAAGGGGCACATAACAGCATTGCTCAGATTGAACAGAGGATGCAGACACAGAATATAGGGCATTGTCGACTCCGTTTTGAGAATAATCCAGTAAAATGGTAGCAGATGGATGCAAATCCACGCACTACGTTTTAAAGAGAGGAATTTTGTTGTCTTGTGTTTAGATCTTTTTATCTCTTTTCTTTTTTTCCTTGGAATTTCCCGCTGCAGGAACTTGGCATTTGGACAGAGTCTCCGTCCAGAGGATGAACCTGAAGATTATTCTCCAACCATGGTAGGTTGTGCATGCGCTGTTCACAGAGGATACGACATTACCACACTTCAGATAGGCATAATTGGAAGTAGTATAGGGCTTGAAAATGCTATGTCACAGCATAGCAACAATTCAAAAACTGGATCCACATGGATCTAGTTTTTGTTTTTGCTGTTTGCGTTATGCAGAGCTCACTGACTTGTCAGTTTGAGCACTCTGGCAAGGTACGTTCGGACCTGATTGGAAATTTTTATTTCCATTGCTATCAGGTTCGGCCTCATTTCCTCTGTGCTGCGCTGACGAGTCCACAAAGGACGAAACAGCTCTGTCCGCAGATTGAGTATTTCGCTCCTGCTCTTGTAGCAGTTGAGCACTCTTGCGTGGGGTAGTGCCTTTGC